TTTCTACCCATATGTACACTTAAAAAAACCCCCAAAAAAACACTAAAAAAAATTTAATTTTCATATTCAAATAGGACTAAATTTCAGCATCAGTTGCGACAATTTGGTTCAGTAATTTTCAAAAATAATAGCTTGTATTTACCTGTGGTTTCGTTATATGAACTATTTTATTACCAAGTACATCCCTGCAATGTTTTTATATATTTGATAAATTTTAATGCTAAAAGTAATGTTAGAAATACTGTAAAGTTAAAATTAAAATAAATAAATGCACAAAAAGTTACAAGCTTTTGTGGCATTATATATAATTACTAGATTTATGTTTAAAATAACAATTGGTATATTATATTGTAAATGATCAAAAAATCCTATGCAAGGTAACATTTAAATTATTTATTATTAATATATGTATTTCAAGTCCTATTATATTTACATAAATTTAGTGTATAAGTAAAATGTTGGTTATTAATCATTGAGATAGATATAATCTCTAATTGATTTAATGAGAATAAAAATTATTGATCAATATGCTTTTAGTATTTATCTTTATTTAAAATCTCTCATTTTGGTATGTTTAAATCATTTATATGCTAAGTAAGTATAAATAAAGATTATTTATTAATTGATGTATTCAATAATTTGCTAATCATAAATTTTAATTTAGAAGATAATGTAATATATATAATATTTAAAATATAATAATAATCTTTTATCAATTACAAAATGAATTTTACGAGAATCTTAGTAACAGTTAAGCATAATAAATGACTAATAAATAACAAACCTTTTATTAAATAATTTTTAATTAATGAATTAACAAATTATGTGAAACCTGATAAATAACAAACATATAACAAATGATAAGACATAAGCTTTTATACATTCTTTTTTATAATGTAAATATATTAGTTCATATGAATTGTTTTGCATTATCATATGTATCCATTTTCTATTTTTTCTAACACATTAAAAATGCAATCCGTTATTCATTTTCATATTTAAAATTTAATAGATATCCAAATTCTTTATAATAAATTTGTTATAAAATTAATCTAGCAAATATCCAGATTACATTTCTATGACACATCAATTTGACATTTGAAACTTTAACCTTACAGAAACATCCAAAATGCCTAACAGTTAACAAATTTTTCAGTTTCAGATTTAAGAAAAACTGATAGATTTACTTGTATAAAATAAAAAATAATAATTTTTTAAAAAAACAAAGTTTAGCATATTTAGAATTATTATAAAAAGCATTTAAAAGAGAATCGATTCAAAAATTACTAACTGAATTATTTTACACTGAGATTAAATCAAAAATTATATAACTAAAGTATTCAATTTGCTATTTGATTGCAAATATTAATATGTTTAAAAAATATTAGCATCTGATTTATGACTTTGCCACTAGAGTTTTATAAAAATTTTACGTATAACTTTTAAAATCTTGATTCGAATTTAGCATACAATATACATAATAAAAGCTTAAAATAACTTTAAAAGCGTGACTGTTTTCCAAATTTTGAGCGATATTATTTCAATAACTACCTATCTAAAATCGATAAAAGTTTTTTTATATTTTAATTCTATTGTTTCATATAATTAAAATAAAAAAATTTTAACGATTTTTAAACAATTAATTATTGAGCTTCAGAACTTAGAAAATTTTTACATGATCGACAACATGCATAACCTGGCAAATGCAAAATAAGCTAGGTTTGTTACGTCATACTTGATCGCGATTGTTTTGATTTGATTTTGATTGGATAAATTCGTGATTGTTTTGGTGATCAGCATCCTAAATTTGGCCATTACACAGCCTATCAAACAATTATAAATACACACAAATTTTTATTTCGAAAAACAATAGGTTTATCTTTTCGTTCTAAATATACTTGTATTTTTAGAATCGATAAGTAAGTCTGTCGGATACACCACTATAATGCTGCTTGGTTAGCGGAGCAACAGAAACAACCCGTAGTTTTTTTAAATGGTTCTAGCGTTTTTTCGGCGTAATGAAAAAAATCTAAAGCAGAAAGTCTTTGGTAGCCTCTATGTTCTTGAGTATAGCCGTTAAACGAAACTTTTTTGAAAGTTAAACCTAATTTTTGACGTTCATCGGTTAAATATATGTAATGACGGGCAAAGGTCTATTTTCACAAAAACCGCTAGTTTCATATAACGACTATATAGTCGTTAAGCGAAACTTTTTTGAAAGTCAACCTAGTTTTTTGACGTTCATCGGTTAAATATATGTGATGATAGGCAAAAGTCTATTTTTACAAAAACCGCTAGTTTCATATAGTGACTATATAGTTCTTAAGTAATATTCTTAAGTAACGTTTGGGAACAATATGCAATCAATAGATTTTCGAACCTAAATTGTTTAGTTATTTTTTTGACAAATCAAAAGAATAACAAGGAAATGAAAGTTAGAACTTTGTTTTAATATTCGTTTCCTCAATTATGTTTGTGACGATAATATATTTACTGTATTATTGTCTAAACAATTTTTTTAGATATTTTAGCGGTGTGGGAGTGTGTGATCCTAGTGAATAATTAAAAGATTAGTTAACCTGATTTTTTTTTTTACTACTGTTGACAGATCAATTTAAAGTGTATGCTTGAAGCGTTAATCCAATTCACAACAACTATTCACAATTCATAACGTTTTGAAATCATTCCAACAACACATCTCTTAGCAGTAACTACACCGATAATATATTGAGTTGGCAATACAATGCATGGATTCAGATTTCCCAAAACGGTTTACTGCCATGAATATCTATAAGAACTTAATAAATAGGATGTAATCATGGAAAGTTCAAATAACGTAGATGCAGATTAAATTAAAAAGCAATTCTTAGATACCAATAAAATAGTTAAAAGATTACCAATTATCTTACCAAACATCAGATTCGATGTGCACTAGCAAAAATAACTAATATACAAAAAATTACGGATGTTATTAAAGGTATTTATTTGAAAATTATGCTACATTATTCTTTATATTTCCTTAAATTAATTATATTTCTTTATTATTAGATATTTCTCAGTTTAATCCTTATATTTATAATTAATATATAATATTTTTATAACGCCGTGGCTTCATAGTAAGTCTTGTGAATCACATTTAGTGATTATTTGGTTATGTAACACTTAATAACATGCATAACGATAATATTATATTAACACTAACGCGTTTATTTTTCATCGTAACATAGTATCAACGTAGTATCATGATTTCTACATGTTTATCCTAAGTTATGTTACGACTTTACCTTATCTTTTCTGATCTTTGCATGCTCTTTCAGCACTAATTCCATTTTTATAACAATAGTCAATCCGGAATGTTCCAGCAGTGTTGCAGATTTTTGGTAAGAAGTGAATGCATTATGTTCGTATTTTTCAACTCCAATTCCATAACAATATCTAAATATTATATGTTTCAACAGCGTCACTCATTTTTGCTGATTTTTTAATAAAAGTGAATACCTTATATTCATCCAATTCCATTTCGATAACTGTACCTAATCTGGAATTTTCAATAGTGTACCATCTTGTAGATTTTTGATGTCAATTCCACTTTGATAAAAATATCAAATCTTGAATTTCAATAGTGTAGTCCATCTTCGCGAATTTTGGTAATAAATAAATGAACGCCTTATGTTCATCTATTCAACACCAATTCCATTTCGAATGCTTTATGATCGTCTTTTTCAACTCCAATTTCATAACAATATCTAACTTATATGTTCCTTATATTCATCTTTCAACTTTAATTCCATTTTCGATGACAGAATCCTACCTGAATTTCTCAATAGTATAACTCATCTTGCAGATTTTGGTAAGAAATGAATGCCTTATGTTCGTCTTTTCAACTCCAATTCTATAACAATATCTAATGTTATATGTTCCAACAGCACCACCCCTCTTTACTGATTTTGAAAGGAGTTAAATGTCTTATATTCATTCTCCATCTGGAATTTTTCAATAGTGTAAGCAATCTCTGTGGCTTCTTGGTAAGAAATGACCAATTCTATACGTAACAATATCCAACGTTATATGTACTCATCTCAGCAGACTTTTTTTGATAACAGCATCCAACCTGGAATGTTTACCAATCCATCCCTGCAGATTTTCGATGAGAATTGAACGCCGTATATTCATCCCTTTCAACCTTAATTCACATCAATTCTATAACAACATAACGTACATAACCCTAATATTATATTTTTTTTTCAGGATGGGCCAATAAAAATGGGTCAGGTGAACCAAGAACAATTTTTTTTTCACGATTTATAAATTTTCATAAATGCGGTGAAATTGTAAATAATTTACTTATATATTCCAATTGAAGAACTTGCAATTATGAAATGAATAAATTTTAAATTCCTTTTCTTCAAAAATTTAAATTTATTATCCGAACATGTATGTATATATTATTTTTATTAAAAAAAGAAAACTTTCCAAAAATAAATTTGAAAAAAAAATTTTTTGAAGATCGTACCTGCATTGTCTTTAAATAAATATCTGTCGCCATAGCGATAGAATTGGAATTTGCATTAAATTCGGATATGCACTTATGTACGTACGTACATGCATACAAGTGAAAGAATTTCAATTGAATCACATGATCACGCCATCACTATTTTCATAATGGTGCATAGATTTAACGGCTGATGTTGATATCAAATGATAATCAAAGATTAGATTTAGGTAGGCAGTAAAATGTATGCACACATGATAAGCTTTAAAATACTTAAAATCAATATTTCAGATAATTTTGTTTTTTAATTTTTTTATTACAAGACTAGAAAAAAAAAAGATTTAAATAGATTTCAGCAAGATCAATAAACAGAAAAGTAATAAACTTTCTACAATTATGGGTAAGAATAATTCTAAATATAACATAGTATCTAAGTAATATAAAAACTGTACAAAAAAAAAAAGAGGCAATAATGGTCTTGGTAATATTTTGTTGATGAGAGGGAAAATTATTGGCCAACGATCTCGGCATACCACTATTAATACAAAGAACATTAGTTATAAATGTTTAACCATTACTACTCTGAACTAATTGATAATTTGTATACCTTATTATTTTCTTCAAAACCATCACCATCCAACAAAACCTCTTGATTGGAATTTGAATGACTATCTATGAACTCAATATGACTCTGAGTGAAGAGTGGTAGTTTGTTGTTAGCATGTTCCAAGATAACAATATCACCTATCGCCCAAACGCCGTTATTTTCATTGAGATAACCTGATTCTGTGGCGTGTCGTCGAACGGCCCAGTTACAATTTGAGTCTTTCCCAGTTGACGCCCAAACTATTAATGAAAACAAATAAGTATCCACTATTAAGCATTTTTAGGATAATGATAAATTTAATATGATTATCGTACCATCACGTGAAGCTAGTTCGTTGGCCGCACACAGGTTTGTTCGAGATTTTTCGTGACATAGACCAATGACGGAATTAAAATGCACGGGATCTCCGGAATTTTTGTTCTCACCGGAAGGAGAAGCAACAATCCATATTTCATTTTCTCGAGGTTTAGATCCATTACAAAATACCTTTTGAAGGTAGGCAAAAATAATAATAATAATAATTCAAGATTAAAAACGATCATAAGAAACGTTTTACGATAATAAAACATAAAACGTTTTAATGCATACAGTAGAATATGGTGACCCAGGTGCAATAGGTTTATGTTCACCATGTGATAAGTATTGGCCGGTGACACAATGTTTGAGGGTAATTTTCGACCCACAACGAATTTGATGCAAAGGGTATTCATAAATGATCCCTTGAAATACTTTTATGACCCAGTCAAATTCCTCAACAGGTCGAAACTTGCTTGCTAATATATTTCGAATGTTATCATCATGCAAAGAACCTAACAAGAAAGATTTTTGTTCTTCAATGTTTGTAACGTTAGCGCTTCGACATAGTGAGAGAAAATTTGATATAAAATCAGACATGTCAACGTTCGAACTATATTTTAAACGTCGAAGATTATGAAGTGCTGCCTGAGACATGACTGTGTAAGTTACATGATTTTTTAAAGCTCTTAAAAAAGCAGAAAAAGTTGATGTTTTGTCGGGAATAAAAATAATCGGATCAACTTTAAGTATAGCAAAAGAAACTATTTCTTCTTCATCGTCAATTCCATGAAGACGACAAAAGAAGCGAATATCTTGTAGCCATGATTCTGGGTCTTGAGTTCCATTATATTTTGAAGGATGAACGGTTACAGCGATGAGTGGTAATTTACACGAATTTAAATTTGCGTCAGACATTTTTTATAATAATAGAATAGAAAAAAATAAAAAGATTCACAGATGGGAAAATCCTACTGAATGAATTACTGTATTATTTATAGGATTTTTACCATGCATGCAAACAGTGAAGCAGACCAAATTGGTAAATAACAAATCAGCCGAACTATGAACAATGAGCAAAAAAAGAAAGTACTAAAAAGCAAAGCCTCTCATCACTAACAATGTCGTCCTAATTCGTTATACAATCGATTTTTTTTACAAATCAATTTTTTTTCTCATTGTTAAGAACTATTCCTTCGATGATGTCTTTTAACCGACTTCTTAGAAGAGTACAATCTGTCCCTTGTTAACCGACCTATTTGGTCTACCGGCTTAGTCACGAGCATGATCAAAACTACCACAAAACAATTACGCATTTAAAAAACTCTTTTAGGTAAAACGTTCGTATCCACGTGTGAGCATGTTTATAGTACTTCCTTTGTTTCTAAAACCATCATCCAAAGATTCAAAGTTAATGACGAAATTAATATTGAAACGACTTTATCCCCTGCATCTTCCAAAACAATATTAATTTTTTATATGTATTACTTTTTTTTTTTTCTAATTCCAAAATTAACTAATCTGACAATTAAATTTTCTCGTGATTTTACGGCACCGCAGCATTATCATTCACACGTTTTAATTTTCATCTTGCCATTCATTTCATTCATTTTTTTTTCTTTTTCTTTTTTTTTGGATAAGAAAGAAAGAAGCGTTATGCGCAAGCATAAGATAAAAGAGGCATTTGATCGAATCCACTATATGTTCACCTACTTGACATACCAATATCATTCATTTGACACGCACTACTACATATTTGCGCATATTATGCACTTACCGGTTGGCCAAATAACATTTATGGGTTATATATATATGATAAAAAAATAATTCTATCAAGTTTCTATTGTTTGGAATAATAGAAATAATATAATATGCTATCTCAAATATTTCACAGGCGTCTGTTTACTAGATCTTACAGGTAGGTGCATATGTGGTCCCCGATCCTTCTATCACATGACTGATATTAAATAAATCTTCCGACTGTTTCATTATTTCATAAGGTCTCGAGTTCTTTTTTTAATCATACGATAAATCAAAAGATTTAACGTTAAAAAAATTTATTAGATTAATTGAAATTTGGTGGGCCTGAGAATTTCTGTTTTAATTAATTTCAATAAGATAAGTTAGGATAATTAAAAAATTTGATAAATTCTAATTCCATTAATCATTATCATTATTAATGTTAAACAAATTAAATTCACTTACACAAAGTACACACACACACGCAAGTACGCAAATACGTACGTACCTTACTTATGTATCGGAAATTTTCTTCACTAACCTTATCGATTCAAATGTCGTAATCAATTTTAAAACGTAAAACTATGAAATTTTTTTGGTTTCATATATTATTTAAATGTTATTTATTCTTTCATTTATTCATTTATTTATATATTAAAATATTCATCATATCAGATATCACTTGGTATAACTTATTCTTTATATAAATAAATATGTTGAATCTTATTATCACTTTCTAGTTAGGAAAACATTTCAATTTTTCAACCTAAAGTTTTTAAATTTTAGAAAGTGGATAAATTAGTATGGTTTGATTTAATTTGGAAATAATTTAAAAGTTATTTTAGTTGGTCATATTTATCGTTACGTCAAACTACTTCTCTGAACGTAGCTCTATTAATATACCATGTTTAGATTAAACAGATGAGATAGGGTAATAACGAATATGGAATGAAAAAGACATCAGTTTCACATGTACTTCATAACAAATCCTTTCGTTCATTTGATTTCTTGATAATTTGCACGAAAATGGTTTCTTATTACCAAATTAAAAATCATTATTCATTTTAATTACTTAAAAAACAAAAAATTTCGGATGACTAAATATTAATGGAATTTTTCGAGTTCATTATTAAGTATTGATTAAGCCTTGCTTTAATGAGAACCATGTGGGTGCATGCAAATGATCAAAATATTTGTTCTTTCGTTGATTGGATGCTTCCCGAATTTGGTAATTGTCTACAACAAATTTCTCTTTGCTATTTGAACTTATCTTTTAAGTCTTGTGTTGTTTATACTCCGTTGTTAGTTCCGTACTCTTCTTATTTTAATGTTAACGTCCCAGTTTTAATATTCTCTAATAAACTTTAAAGTAAGACTCATTTCTCTAATGAAATCAAAAGCAGAATTAAAATCACAGATTTGGAAAACAAAACTTCATTAATGCTAAGCTCAATTAACGTTAAACTCCATCAATGCTAAACTCAATTAACGTTAAACTCCATTAACGCTAAGGTTTTCAGCCAATTTTTATCATTTACCAGAAATTTCGAATGAGTAAGTATGAGCCTTGTTTTCTTAATCCGGAGATTTTTTTTTTACAGATTGCGATTGTCATTTTATTTATTATAAATGCGGCATAATTGTAAAACCTCTATTGTACTTAACAACTAAATAAATGCTATTAAAAACAAAGTGCTTCTATGCTAAAGTTTTAAACATTGTAATTTTGGTCAAATATGTTGATATTCCCTATTACGGCGGATTGGTAAAATGCCGCAAATTTTGAAAAATTTGACCAGTCATTTAATCAATAGAATATTTGACTTCTTGTGTTAACTTATATATTATTATTCTGATCAAACAATGAAATTCATATTAAAAAAACGTAACAAAACTAAACCTGTTTTTAATAAGTAATGATATATTTACTGAATTTTAAAATGGGTTAGACGCATTGTTATTATAGGCCTGCCGAATAATTGGAGGCAATTAATTAATTGATTGGTGGCGCAGCCACAAATTGTTAATTAATTGCAATTATCGTTATTATGTCGCAATTTGCAAACGTGCATAGTACGTAACTAATCTTTGACGTAATTTAAAAAATAAAGAAATCATGCAATCAAATAACTTCTTCCTTGAATAACTTGCAAAATTACAAATTAATCAAACCATCATATAATATTAACTTATTCTTTTTCGAAAAAAAGTATATTACGTTCTAATATATTCTTTTTTAAGTTGGCTTCAATGAGCACTAAAGTTTCGAATAAGAGTTACATAGAGGCCTTTTTTAGATCTGCAAATGATGGAAAGCATCAGAATTTATGTCCTTCCGGATCGTAACCAATAATCCAAAAAAAAAGAAACGGGTTATACAAATCTAATGAGTCATTTAGATTTAACTATAGTGCAAGTGTACTTAATATTTTTAATTAGGTAAGTCTTATTATAAAGTGCCAATTACCTAATGCATATGAAAATTTCAACATATTAGTTTTTCAAAATTGGATGTTTTGACAGTTAGCAAGTACATTGATATTTTGATAGATGTTATACAAAAAAGAGTAAGTGATATTTTGTCAAAAAAATTGAAAATTATATTCAATAAATGGACAAGTAACAGCATTCATTCTGTTGGATTATTTGAAATTTATTAAACATTCATAAATCTAAAATTGTTTTTACTTGTATTTTTATTATTTAAAGATTGTGTTATTTAAAGTATAAATGTATATATTAAATTTTTGTAGATGTTTTATAAACATATAATAAAAATATTAAATTTTTTTTTTTTTAGAAGATAACAGCAATATTAATAAATAATAGCAAATAATTTTTGTTAAATATGTATTACATTATCCAAATTTAGCAATTAATAATCTTATTAAATTTTTTTTTTTATTTATTTATATAATATCAAAGTAGAAACTTTATAAGTACATAGAAGAATTTTCTATACTAAAGATTTTTAACTACATTTGTGTTACTTAATTAAGAATATTTTTTTAAGACACCTGATGTAACATTACATCTCCTATTTTTTAATAAATGCTATGGTCAATTAATTTATCAATTTCTAGTTAGGATAGGTTGAAGGGGATCTAAGATGTTTGTCTTATTATTATATAAAACAGTAAGTTAGTAAGTAACCTTGAAAGAGCCATTTTTCAATGACAAAAAAATTGTTATTAAGTTGAATTGTAGTTGAGTTTGTATTGGATAGTGGAATTATAGTAAGTAAGAAAAGTTTATTGTATTTGTTTTTAGAGATAATATTATAGGCAGTTTCTTATTAATATTGTACAATGTTACAAGAGAACCAGATTTTGTTAAAGAACCAGAATAGAAGATTATTGAATAAGTTTATAAGAAGAGATGTAGTTTGTTTATTTATAAGTATTTTAATATTATCAAAAGTCATATTAGATATAGTGCCAAGGAGTAGGTTTAGATTATGATGATATTGTAGATTAGTTGTATTAAGTATAAAATGAAGTATTATGTTTAGAAGAGTAGATGATGAGATAGATAAAATATTGAGTACTGTTAGAATATTATCAATCATATTAAGAAGTATTTGTTATATATTTAAATTGTTTTTGTTACATTGCAGTATATGTAAAGTATCTTTTATATTAAAGCATTAACAGCAAGTTGAAGTAGTATATAGGTATAGGTAATGTATATTTAAGTTTTGCATAATGGGTAAGTTATTTGTTAGAATTTTGATACAAAAGAAATAAGTTATGAATTATATTTAAAGAAGTTTAATATTTTAAACATTAGAGACCATTCAATATTAGGTATGTTGTTAAAGAATTTGAGTGATAACTATATATTAAGTTTATTTATTTATTTTTTTTTTTAAAAATCTTTGGCAGCCTTGCCAATCACCTTTATTAAGAGTCTTATAT